AGATAATAATAATGATAATGATGATAAATAAAGTTAAATAAAATAACTCTTTTTATTTTAATAGATTTCTGTTATAGGGTGTGCACGCTTGCTGGAAAGACAGAGACAGAAAGCAAGAAATCACCCTCCAGGGGGATGGCCACACCACAATCCCTTCTCCTCTATTCTATTCTCTGGATCTTGGGCATGCATGCACATGTGCCTGGTGTGCATTTTAAGTCACTGGGTCCAGGACTCGAACCGCGGTCAACTACATAGAAGTCCAACAATGTAATCATTACGCCACCTGCTGGTCCCATTAGCCTCATTTTTACTTGACATAATGCAAACATTTTGTATAGTTGGTCACTTCTTTGGAATGCTTACAGAAAATACCCTGTACTGGTTTTCTTCGTTACCTCCCTGGCTATTCTTTCTCAGTCTTCTGTTTTACTTCTTTTCCATGTCCTTAATCTCTCAGTTCTGGAGGGCCTCAAGACAGTCCTTGTGTCTCTATCTGCACTCATTCCTGAGGTGAGCATGGTGGTGACTTCCCACTGTGCACCTCCAGCCCAGAGTCCTTCACCGCTCTCCAACTGTCCACTCACCCTGTTACTTGGTGTCTAATAGACACTTTGAATAACACAGTAGACACTAAATCCTAATCTCCCCATTCAAAGCTGCTTTTCCTCCTATCAATTTATTGCAACTCTATTGTTTCAGCTCCCCAGGCTAAAAACCTCATGCCTCTCTTTTCCTAATGTCCTGATGCCTCTCTTTTCTCTCAAAGCTATAACAGGTCTTTCATTAAATCCTGTCAGTTCTACCTTCACAAAATATTTATCATTCAGAAACTGACCACTTATTATTGCTTCTCCAGCTCCTGGTCCATGCCCTGACTGACCTGCTGACTCCCAGCCTCTGCCCATGACCCTTTACAGCCTCTTCTCAAAAGAGTAACCAGCGTCACCCTGTATAAGGCGTACATTAGACGTGTCACTTCTGTTGGAAAAACTCTTAGATGGTTCCTTTTTTCACTCAGAACAAAAGCCAGAGTCATTTCCATGAGCTATTTATAGCAGGCTAGGATCTGCTTCCTTGCCCTCCTCCTCCTATTTTTCCAGTTCCATCTCACTCTTTCTTTCCTGGGTCGCTTGACTTTGGCTACCCTAGTCCGTTTTTGAGTTCAACAAACACGCTAGGCAAACTCTCAGCTCAGGACCTTTGTACCTATTGTGTCCTTTAACTTCCCGTAGGCCTCCACATGACCACTCTTTGTTCCTTCCGATCTTTGCTCATATCTCACCTTGGTGTGAGGCCTTCCCTTTTAGGACACTCCATGCCTCCGTCCTCAGCATTCCCCATTCTCCTTCCTTGCCTGTTTTTCTCCTTAGCATTTGTCATTATCTGGTCTACTGTACCACCATTGCTTTATGCCTTTCCCCTGTAGTGTGAGCTCTAGGAGGGCAGGGTTCTAGTCTCTGTTTACAGATGGTATTCCTGGTGCCTAGAAAAGCTCCTGGCATGGAGTAGTGCTTGATAAGCAACAGAGAGTGACCGTCCAGTGAGAGCGAGCCTACTGGGGAACCTTTGTCCTTGAACCAGTGCTGTATGTTCAGAAGAGGGCACGGGTGTAGGATGGGTTTTATGCCTACTTTGTTCATTGTGTCTGGAAATAGCAACGGAAAGTTGTTTTGTGTGAGTCTCAAGTTCCACCTCCTCTAGAATGGTCTCTATGACTCTCCAGTCTGCTGTGAGCTTGCTCTTCTTTTCCAGGATTTACCTAGTCATTGTGTCGACCCAGTATCAGGTATTAGGTACTCATTCTCTACATTGCCCTTTCCACCTCCCCACTCCCCCCATAGGGTAATGTCTGCTGTTGTACTTGTTAGTTTCTCTGGGGTACAGATGGAACTGCACATGCCTTTCTGACCATTGTTCACAACTCCAAGCACAGGGCTCCATACAGAGCGGCCCTAGAACATGTTTAATTGAACTAACGATGGACTGACTTATGGTGGGGGTGAGTGCTAAGAGGCGTATAAATAAGACAATGGTGGATAGTGCCATCTTAAGGCGTTTCTTTGAATGATTTCTGAGTGGCTTCTGTCCGTTCCTTAGGAGACCAAGAAGAAGACAGTCCATGCAAAGTACTGCAGCAGATTTGTCCACGCTCCCTGGAAGGATGGGAGCTTGGTCCACGTCAACATTACCAAGGAGAAGTACAAGTGGTACAGTGAGAGAATTCACACAGCCCTGGCCCAGATCCAAAGGAGGTTAGTGTATTTTCAGAAGAGTACAAGTGGCCTAGTCTATCTTTTTGTTTTGTTTTGTTTTAATTTTGTGTGAGGGAAAAATTAAACTTTATTTTTTAAAAGCCAGACTACTAAGAAAATATGTCACAGCCGTTAAAAAGCAGACAGGCTGTATTATCGTTTCAAGTAATAATCTGACAAAAAGACAACAAGGTCCTAATCAAAAGGACAAGGTGCCACAGGGGCAGGAACCCTGCTTGTTGCAAAGTCCCCAGGCTGCCCCTCCTTTGGGATCCCCCCTAAGGGATTCCCTAAGCCAAGATGCTTGCTTTTTCCCCTTGACTTTTCTGTGGCCAGGGGATTGTCTCAGTGAGACTCCGAACTTGGGGGGAGGGGGGCTGAGTAAGCCATGCTAGGTTTAGGCTTTTCTTCCCTTCTGTTCTAGGAAAACCAGGTCTTCCACATCCAGTACTTCACGACTCTCTTAAGTAACCAGTTGTTCCTCTTTTACCGTTCACTCTTGGATACCAGTATATATCACAATCAAAATCCCTTTCCCTATCAAGAGGAAACTGTTACTACTTTTTCTTTGTAGACAGCTTCAGGGCCAACCAGCCAGCAAGAGGGAAACTGCATTCCACACTCAGTGTGCTGTTACTTCTCATGTTTTCACCCGGTCTCCAGGGAGAAAGATGTGACTTGTAAGAATTTGAAGAAATACACATTTACGTGGATAGCACAAAGAACTGTTTCAAAGTTGTTATCCAAACTACCCTCCCTCTCAACTCCATGTTTATATCAACTCTATGCCCTTGCGTACAAAGCAGAACCAAGCAAAACAGAGACCCAGACACCATTTCCCCTTCTAAATTAGTGTCTTTGTGAATTGTGTTTTACAACTCATAAAAATGGTGCTGCAATATTACTGGTAAACTGGTTGGCAACAAATACAAACACCTCTCCTCAAATGGCACCAGGTCACAGGCAGTGAGAGGAGCTAGCCAGTACGTTGGTACCTCTGCAGGAAGACTCTAGCTCCTTGGGGGGCTCTCACTTGGTAAAAGGGGGAGTCCTGCTGTCAGGACAAGCACCTGCCACCTGAAACTCAGGTTCTGAAACTCTCTCTTGTGTGCTCTGACCTAAATTTTAGCACCATTTTTTTTCTTTCATTTCACTTTCTAAAAAGATAAAGAAGCCAGTGTTCACAGGAAAGTAACATGTCTTAAATTTGTTGCCATCCTTAATTTCTTCATAAACTTTGCTTTAAACTGAAATTTCCTTTGCTCTTTTAAAATAGATTCCTGCCCCCAACCCCAAAGGTCACTGGCAAGGACTTTTATTTCCCCATAGACAGCAGTGATTCCTTCATCCTCTTGGTTATAGTCAGGATGGGGGGCATGTCGTCATCCCCTCACCTGGACACGCTACCGCCCAGTTGCTGCTTCACCTGAGGCTCCTCGCTCCCTGCGTCTAGGGAATCTTTGGCTTTGTCATGGCAATGCATGGTGCACTGCCCTGGTGGCCTTGGAACTTCTCCAGCTCAGTGGTCGCCACGGCCTGGACTTAGGCTTGGGCCAGAGGTGCAGGGCAGTGCTTGATGCACTGGTGCACCTGCTGCATGGACACCTAGTTGTCCTCACAACAGCCAGCGCTGCACCAGAATGTGAGGCCCTGCGTCTTCCAGATGTTATCTCAATCCAGACTCTTCACTATGGAGTCTCCTGGTTCCTGCACCCGGAGCTCCTGCAGCTCTGCCGTGGTGACCCCATGCTGTACCCTGCCAACACCCACATGGACTGGGCCGCTCTAGTCTCTCTTGAAATTAAAATCTGTTTGATCTCTTCATAAAAGTTCACCCAAGGGGGCCAGCAGATAGGTGTAGTGGTTAGGGTGCTAGACTTCCACATGTCCAGCTACAGTTCAAGTCCTTGAAAATCATGTCAGACACACAGACGTGTGTGTGTGTGTGCGCGTGCGTGTGTGCGTGCCCAAAATCCCAGGAGGAGAATGGAGGAGAACGGATTGTGGCATGGCCATCTCCCCTTGGAGAAGTGATTTCTCGCTTCCCCTCTCACTGTCTATATCTGTCTCTCTCTCTCTGGCAAGTGCAGGTACCCTGTGGCAGAAACCTTGAAAAAAAAAGTTCACCAAAAAAGAGAATGGCCAATAAGCACTGCTAAGTCAAGGTTGCCATCTGACGGCCTTATCACAACAAAGGAGTATGTTTGGATTCAGAGTCCAAGCAGCCTGGGACTGATATTTGAATTTATTTGTAATATATGTATGTGTATATGTACACACACTGCACACATGCACGCATATATATATATATATATATATA